GAAATGTGATTGTTGCCATTAAAGTTAGCTTAACATTTTGTGATTATTTTTTAATTATGTTATGCGCACAATTTACAGATACTGCATTTACAAAATACTACTTTACAATACGGCATATATATTACATTTATTCAAGCCATTACAAACCAAGACCCGAATAAAAAAAGAGAATAAAATAATTAAATAAAGACCTAACTGCCACACAACAGTTACATGAATACAATATAACAATATTTATGCCCTTTAGTATCTACGAATCTATCAGGAAGGCCCTGCCAAATCAGGCATTCTATATTGCTATTATTATGATAAGTAGCATATATTCTTTAAAAAAAAAACACAATCAGGTACACTGAAGGGCGATTTAATTTAATCTGCACCATAGCTGAGTCCCAATGCAGCCGATGCTTATTATTATAAGCATCGGATGTTTGCGGAGGGTTTGTTATTTTTTCTTCGGGTCTTCAGTTTTAACTTTCACTTTTAAAATCACGTGTTTCGAGTATTTGGCTGCAATAAATGTCCACATGATAATCCACTTCGTTGGGCTGTCATTTGTGGCCAGGTCACTTCTGCGAACGAGCGACGTAGCTCAGTGTTTACCTAGAAGAGCCCTGCACTGGGGGCACTGCGCAACCAAGCCGTGCTATTTACCTGCCAGGCACAGCGTCACACCTCCACAACATTCATCACCTGATCAGCCCTCACAACGTAAATGTTATGTCACCTTTCCCTTTATTGCCCAGAAAGTGAACAGATGCATCATGCGCACGCACCAATTCACGTTCTGTGGCAAAAGCACCCTTTTGAAGCGATGCAGCTCCCATAGCTCATGTCGATGCAAAAACCTTCATGCCGGTGTGGCTTAACACCGTGGCTTTCCAGTGTCTGGTCTCCATTTCTGTGGCTGTCTCTACCCATCAGTGGAATAATCCGTCCTGACACGGTGCCCTCCGGGGGTGGCACTGACTGTGCTCAGCCGTTTTGTGTTGTCTTGCTGAGTGCTTACATCAGCCCTGGCTAAAAAAAAAACACAGGAGCCAGAACAGATCAGGCCCCACTTTATTAAATGCTCAGATGCATTTGATTTTGCTTATTTACGAATTTATTTTTTCCAAGCAAAGTCACCAGTCAGGGTGAGGCTCCGTTGTAGCATATGGCTAAGCTAATCGGCCATGAGATTTTCTCAGGAGGCAATTAGGGAGTCCCTTCGCTGGCAGAGAGGAGAATGCCATAACCAGGCACTGGCAAGAGACAGGACTGCACCACCATTATAGCCAGTGACAACAAGAAAGGATTCTGCAGAATTGTGTTGAATATATATATAAACAAACGAAAAGTCGTAGCCGTAGAGCTGTGGTGTAACTCTCGTTTGTGCCGATTGTGTTTTGATGTCTCATGGGATTTTTTATTTGCTCCAGTGTCTTTGTGTGCACAAAACGGTCCTGAAAATTTAGAAGTAAGGATTTCCAGCAGTAACAATAATTTTTCCTTCCATGATGCAGTGCGTACCCAGTGTGTGTTAAGTAATTACTCGTGCAATTACGAGTGTATTACAGATACTGCTATGCGTAACATAAGACTTAGCTGCTGCTCACGTTAAGCTTCATGTCACTCACCACTTAGCAGCATGCGCTGGCACACACTGCCCACCAGCCAGGTGGCTCAGTGGTAACGTGCACCTCTCAAAATCGTAAGATTGCGAGTTCACAATTCTGGTTGGAATTGCCCTGCCCTCCAAGGAAATTCACAGTGGTTGTCCGTAGGAATGGATCATTTTAATCACTGGCTCAGAGCTTTAAACAGAAGATGGGCACCATCTCAAATGTTAATTTGAGCAGGAAATCACCTTTACTTTTAGATTTGCTGGCGAATAAGGTGCGCTGGTACACACAATATGTGGTGTGTACAATCTTTTTTACAGTTATTTATCAATGCATTGCTGGATAATGGCCTCCCCGAACTGTGTTTTGTCATGGTGATTGTGGTAAATACTTCGCTACACTGGTCAGTGCGAGTTGGTGAAGAAGGGCTCAGGACCAGTTGCAAGATCACTGACCACTAATGACCATGGCCAGGAATTGAACTGTGGTTACAATGAGCTTCATAAAAAGTGTGTTTGTTATTGTGAGGCGAGAGACATTATGAGCTGGGACATTACAATACATTGTTTCTAAATGTGACATCTAAATGCAGCCACATCTCAAGATTCCTGACTGAAACAGTGATAATATGTATTCTCTTTCTAGAGGTGGTCAGTCACAGGAAGAGGGAAAGAAGCAAGGTCTCGAGCCTGAACTTTGAACAGGGGCAGGGATTCGACAGCACGAATGACTTGCGGTCGGGAGTTCCAGAATGCTGGGAGCAACAGAGCAGAATAAGTGATCTCCCACTGTATTGACGTTAAATGGGCGACTTGAATAGAAACCACGAGTGAGTTACTAGAGTGGAGGGTTGGTGATTGTGATGCTCAGCACTCTGGTGGCCTTCAAAGTCACCAGTTGGCAATGACAGTGCTGAACAAGTGTTCCATCTAGGTTGCAAACCAAACGAAGCCAATAAATATGTATAGAATAATTAAAAGGAACGATAGAAATGGAAACATTTCTGAAAAAACGTCTTAAAACGCTCAAGAAAATGTTCAAGGTAGAGACAAAAAATGCGTGAATAAAATGTAAGGCCAGCGGGTTGAAGTGCAGAGGCAGCAAAGCATGAAATGAAGAAACATTTCTTTTCTATACATTTAAATGCACATTTCGATTACTTAAAATGTATTTCTGAAGATCCATTCCTTTTATTTTATTTTGTTTAACCAGATATAAAAATATAGCCTCATTGGCAAGAGTGACCTGGGTCACCAAAATGACTAAGGGCGACAAAACAACATATGGAGAGTGAGTAACATAGAACATAACAACATGGAGAGTGAGTAACATAGAACATAACAACATGGAGAGTGAGTAACATGGAACAGAACAACATGGAGAGTGAGTAACATGGAACAAAGCAACATGGAGAGTGAGTGACATGGAACTAAATCCGAGCAGAGCAAGCACTTTCCAGGGAGAAATAAATAAACGCTCATCAATTTAAAATAAAATGCAATGCCCTTTGACATGTTTGCTCGGTAAACTCTACTTTGAAAACGTCCATGGAAAGAATTAAGGTGAAGGAAAAATGTACACGGAATGAATGTAATCGTTGCATTTGTAGGTAATCGGGCTTTAAATCGAGAGAGGAACTTCCCCATAGGGCCTGTATTACGCTTGCACACCTTTGGATGTTGCCTGCTGCTCGACGATCGCCCGCGTTTTAATGGTTTGTTATCTTTGTCCTTGCTGGCCTGCTCAGGAGGTGGAGGTCAGTATTTAATTAAGATTTTTTTTCGCATTCATTCACATCTTTTTAAGTGTGCGGGTGCAATGATTATATTTTAACTACGCGATTCTTTACAGCTGGCAAGGTTATGATCTATTTATAATCACTCTTGGTCTTGACAAAAAAACATGCTTAAAGCATTCATCCTCTTTGGTTCTTTCTGTAAAGTCACGTAGACAGAAAATAAATGAAATAATAGAATACGACGTTTGGATTGCAACACAAGCAATCGTCATCAGGTAGAAAGCAAACCTAGTGAACTTAGAAATACAATGCAATCCAAAACAGAGAGTCGGCTAACAGAACAGTCAGCACCTTACCTTGTTGATTACGTTCTTACAAAGATTGCCGATAGAACCAAAGAGTAATTCCTGCAGTCATGAAAGCTTCAAATCAAGCATTAATCCCTAATGCCTCGGTTATCATGTATTGCCATATCATCATGGGACCTCCTGTATTGCCATATTGAGTTTTGTTGCAAAATCCATATCAATAAGCGTGATGTTAATGCCAATCTTTTAATGTTAGCATCGACATTTTTTAAAAATAAGCCAGCGTTGATCTGCATGTGAGTGTGTACGCGTACGTGTGTGTGTGTATGTGTGTTTGGGTAGCGGTGGCTTAGAGGTTAACGCACTAGGGTATGAATATGTCAACCTGTGTTCGATTTCTGGCCACAGCTAACATCAGTGGCGAGATTATTTGAACAAATCCTGAGTCTCCCCTAGATCAACTCTTCATGAATAAAGTAGTATGTTTTTTTTAGAATAAAGTAGTATATGGCGCAGTGTGCTGGTCACACCAGCACCTCGTGCACCCTGCCAGTCTTCATCGGTACTTTCAAACAGCACTTGACCCATAGACGCTATTTGGGGGATCTTTGCGTTTGTATATATGAGATTTTGTCTTGTCTTAAGATTCAGTAGCTGGTTGCATAAAATTCCTCAAGTACAACATTCCCTTTACGTTGACTGAGTTAAAATTATAAAGCGAATGTCGCCCTCGATGCTTCTTTAATGCAATAGACCACACGTTCATAGTTTGCCAAAAAAGCCGAAACGCATCAGCTTTGCTATTTGCCATGTTGGTGAGCAGTGGTAGCACACGCTTTGTAATCCAGCACTGTGGAGCCAATGGTTCGTGGATTGCACAAATGTTGCGAAACACCTTTCCGTGGGCATCGAGATTCCATACCCTTGCTCACCAGAAGAATTTGGAACAGTAAAAATGTTGACTTAGCCGGTTCTGTTCTGTATGGGGGATAGAGCGTTGCCACCTCACACACATGGGATTTCTTCAGGTGCTTCGATTGTCTCCCACATGTAAACACTCATTAATTGGCCGATAACACCTTCATCTATAGATGACTGCAGAGCTTGAGAAATTGTTGGCATCATCTCACCATCTGTCTGCCTTTCCCGCCTGCCTAGTTCCTCCTCCTGCCTCTGAGTTTCTCTTTGAGAGTGACAAAATACTGTTCAGCACTTTACAATTTGAAATAATTATTACCATTAGTTATAGGAGACACCAGAATGCTTTTATTCTACGAAAAGGCAAATTCGCAAAACCATGAGTGAACATTATGTGTGCACACATTGAACGTGGGTGTCGGTGTTTTTCAGGAGGATTACTTTCGCTCCTGGGAGCAAGCCAAGCCATTTGACCAAGGTGAGCCCTGGTATCGTTTTGTTGGTGAAATATCTGACGGTGAGTCGCCGGGGAGATTTTTGGCATCTCTTGGATGTTTCTCATTTTGGTGTCATGTGTGGTGGCGTTCATTTCAATCGTGCATAACGAGACTGCTGCTGCTGCTGATGCTGACCACCTGGGACGACGTGCGGGTGCAGATGGCGAGGCACCTCCGAGAAGTGACGCACGTGCTTGCGTCACCGTCTCACGTTTGCTCCAGTTGAAACGACTCACTGAAAAATTATGGCAGAGCAATTACAATTAACAGCAGAACGGTGGTGTGGTGGTTAGCGCACCAAATTAATTGGTGAATATGGCAAACCCTGGTCACGGCTAACATCGGTTAAGAGTGATATTTGAACCGGTCATGGCCCTCACCACCTCCCCTCCACCCCCCCCCCCCATTCACCAACCCACACCCCACACTCACCAGCGTGGTGAAGTCTGGTGAAAAGAGCCCCATAAACAAAACGATATGGAGAGGCATTTTTTGTTTTTATTTGTGGAATTACAAAGCGCTCTACATACACTTAGAATTCCACATGGACACCTACGGCATATGTGTTCCACTTTAAAATATGTGCACGTGCCAACATATTTTAGTCTTGGCTTCTGCGCTAAATATTTTAAAAGTATTTTTGGCTGCTTATTTGTTTTTTGTTGTTGCGTGAAGTGGATAATTTTGTGCAAAATGTTGGACCTTGGTGAATTGTTCCTGCATTTGTATCGTACTGTCCACCTTTGCATCTCCCCTTCAACAAGAAGTTACACATCGGGTCCACGCATTTAAATCGACGCCTAATCCTTGCATCAGTTATTGCCTTCTTTTGTCTACTGGTCTTAGCGTTGAACACATTTTTGCTATTACAATGGGTTTTACCCTTTCTGGCAATAAAACAGGTGTTAAGATGTTAAAACACCAAACAGAATCCGTTTTCAAGGAATTCTGTCTGCATTAAGCAGACGTACTTGTGGTGAACATGCAAATAAAACATCTTCTGATAATATATGCATCTTCTTTGAAACTGATTGATCTACACCAGACAGCTTTCTTTTTAGCATAGTCTCAAAGTTTTAGATCAGAGAACGCCAAAAGGCGAACAGCACAAGACAATGCCACTGTCAGGGCATTTATAGCTCGGGGTGAGCAGCTACGATATTGGACCTTTCTGGCCCGTATCACTGTGAGTCAACGCATGCTCCCATTACATTTAAAACCAGTGCACAGGATGCAAACCATCAACAACAAAAACAGGTTTGGAAATATGATGCATATGCGTGGATTATGTAACATTATTAGACATGTGCTTGTCTTCAGCACAATTGAATTAGTGGTACCGAAGTTGGGCACCTCTCAGGGCAAAACACTGTGTGTGTTTGCAAGTCCAGTCGTCCAGTTTCTTCTTGTTTTTCCCTTCAAGTTTTGGGCAACCCTTTGATGAATTGGACCGGTTTTCAAAATAGTAATAAGTCCACAGACGAAAGAGTTCAAGTGGATCTTGGAGGTCACGTGTTTACTGTGCAGTAGCTGCGGGAGCTGCTGGTTCTGGCAAAAAGTAGACAGCGCTTGGCGGTGTGGTGACATCATTGAGTTTGGCCATGATGACATCTTGATTTTTAACTTCATATATCAGCACAACGTTATACTCAAGTCTTGTTGAGTGTATAACCAGTTTTACACACTGAATTCTCCTTGCAAGGGTAATAGTGCCTCCCCATTATACACGGACATACGGACAGAGCTAATGCATACTATGCTTTCAACCTTATTTATAAAGTATAAAAAAATCACATTCAATAGCCAGGGAGGGCAGGCTGTCCCTTCTGCCCCCCTCCTTGCGACCTTTGTTGGCTGTCGAGCACGCACACCTACACTCAGCAGGGCGAGATCTCATTCCGTAGCTGGAGCTGTGCACGACGCTTTGTTGATAAAGTCGCGCATCGTTCCTGCAGAGACTTGGGATGTGTCCGGCCTAATTACTGAATGTCATTAGAACTGAGACCTATGAAGAAACCGGTAGGCTCTGCTGTGCTGTTGCTAACGGCTGAAATTATTCTTCCATTGAAATAATGAACGTGATGAAGATAGGCAACGAGGAGGAGGTGGCGATAGCACAGGGCCACCAGCGGTGGGGTGCGGTGGTGGAGCGGAGGCTGCTGGAAAGAGATAGCAGTGCCCCCGAGTTTTGCAATGGCCATGGAATAACAATGAGGCAGCATTTGGCTTGTTTTTTTTGTTTTATAACCGGCTGTGCAGCTGCGTGGCTGCTCCCGTACCGGCATGCTCTTTTGTAGTGCGAGTGTGAGTGATACTGCTCTATAATATTCGGATTAGGGCCGGTTTCATCGTCCTGTTGAACGACTTGCTGCAGCCGCCGCCACCACCACAGCTACCCCCGCTGCCACTCGCGAGCTGTTTTGGATGCCTCACACGTCCGTTTCAGGATTTAGGCCTCGTCACATAATGTCACTGGTGAAGTGCCGCACGCCATAAAATAACATAAAATCCCTTTGTGTGCCGCACAACAAGATGGAGTTCGACCATGCCAGGCATCCAGGATCTTGTGCTGACAGCACGAGGATAATTTTGGCAGTCAATGTTAACGTCTGTAGTGCACCTTCTCCCATGTAAGCATTTTAGTGTTCAGGACAGCAGCCAAAGCATTAGATAAATAATTAATTTTCACTGATAATTAAAATCCATACGCCTCGATTGGGCGATTCTTGTATGCGCCGATCATTGTAGAATATTTCAACCTCGTTTCTGAAACCTCTTAACGGACGGCTAAATTAAATAGTCCTATTTATTTTCGGTTTACATCGGATCTCGGTTTGTTGTCTGTTTTTGGGATAGTTTTTTCATTTGGAATGGGATGACTTTGAGAGAGCGAGGCGCGGGACTCAGATGTTCCCTCGACCCCCCGCGATGCCCCCGGGTGTAGGCGCGTGATGCGCGGTGGGCCCCATCTGTTAGGCCGCAACGCATCCCAGGGAGGGCGTCCTCACCTGACCGCCGGCGCCCGGTTGCGCGTGTTGGGCCTGCGTGCGCGGAGCCCTTAATTGGAAACGTGAATTCGATAGGGTCACAATCTGCGCAAATCTAAATTACAAATTCGCCGTGAATCATTACGAGCCATTGCTTGAGCATGCCATCACCGTGGCTCTGTGCGTGCTGCCCGTGCTCCAGATTTGTCAAATCGGGAGATCGTGCAACGCCAAGGAAATTTATCAGTCAATCAATCGGTTAAGTTAACACGTAGGCTTTCGCGACCAATATCCATAACAAAGTTATTTTGGGTTAAATCGCGTAAATATATAAATGTGTCGTTAAAACCCGCCTGATGAAGCTAGTTGTAATTACTGGCGAAACGTCGTACTCAGACTGTAAATGTTGTGGCTTGGCTCTCCAACACACAACCGGTGTGCTGTTCTAGTGACAAATTGGCACGTTCTTTTTACGTGACAACCCTTACTAGTTGGCTGTGTCGGGTGGTGGCGGCAATGGCGTAGCCACGATTTTCAGGTAGGGGGAGCAAACCCTCCAGCAATTATAAATGATAGGAGTTGTTAGTAAGTAAAGACTTGTCCCTTGCTTTCTATTCGACGCGTGTGCGGCAATGGCTCAGCCATCGATCGAGGGTCGAATTCGAACCGCGTTGTGTGATCGGCATCGCGCTCGCTGAAGGTGAATGCCTTCAGGGAAGTCGTGTACTGTATACGCAACTGCGCACAATTTACTTAAAACTGCTTTGCCGCTACTTATTGCCATTTATGGACTCAGACTATTGTCCTATCATCTTATGGAGTCCCTGGCACGTAATAATATGCGACACAGTGGCAGTGGGGGTCGCAAAATTCTGATTTATTACTACTAATGATCTGATCGGATCGGATCATTGGTGGGGCACGTGCCACCCCACCCGCCCACTGGCTCCGCCAGTGGGTGGCGGGTTTTAATTTATATATTTATATTATTTGGGTCTTTCGGTAAAGCCACGTAGATAGATCAAATAATTAAAAAATAATAGCACTCACGACGTTTCTATCGCAACACAAGCAATCGTCATCAGGAGAGAAATATCGCGGGAGAGCTGCTGAAAATATTTTTTTATATATTTACGCGATATAACCCTTCAAAAACCCTCGATTAATCTGTTAATGAATTCATTTTACTGAGAGAACTCGTTGAGAGCCCTTTGAGACGACATTTGTTTTGCATTTGGGACCTGGGTTATAAAAACAGGAGTATAAATGTCATCACCATCATTACCATAATTTTCACCAATCATATATCCCTGTAGTTTTACTATTTCTCATCTATATAAACACGTGTCTCTAAATATCTCTCTTCATACGCTACAGTAATTTTGCTGGAGCAGTCACACCTGATGACGGATGTTTGTGTTGCTTCCAAAACGTCGTGATTTAATTTAGTTGTTTTATTATTATTTTATTTAGTTTTCACCTACGTGACTTTACCGAAAAAAACAAAGAGTATTTTCCATCTGTTGAATGCGTGCAGACTACAATGGTTTACTATCTGGTCCATAAAACGATACAAACTCTATCCTGATGCCCTTTTGTGGCTAGAAGATCTTGACATTGGCATGTAGCTCCTGAACATATTGCCATATGCAAGAATATAATTGATTTCTATGTCCAGAACCATAAATGTTTGGGTAGCAAACATTTATGGTTCAATGGATGTGCCGCTGAAATCAACGGCAAAAATGAAATGCAAGTTTAGCAGAATATTTTTATTTTATTAAATGACAAAAGGCTAAAATAAGTAGATTGTACAGGATGCAAGTGACTGTAAAATGTGGACATACATTTTATTCAAGCAATAAAATGTAAATAAGTGTATCATTTGATTTGCATTGAGCTTAGACTAGCTACCACCAGTATAAACATATTAGCTTGATTGTAATTTACAACCCTCATCATTTATAGATCTCCCTGGCATGGCGAGGTCTTCT